CAGTCTTGCCTCTTTCTGACCAAAGTTACATAAGAGACACTAAGTGAGAATCATCTGAGTCTAGGGAACCCAAAGAAGCTTAAAAACCAGTAACAGATTGCTATCTTAAGTGCCACATCTTTATTCTTTTCTTTCTTTCTTTTTTGATACAGGGTTTTTCTGTAGCTTGTCTTGGATCTCACTAAGGCTAGCCTAGAATTCAGACATCACTTGCCTTTGCCTCCCCAGTGCTGGGATTAAAGGCACGCACCACCACCACCCAGCTAAGCTCCACATCTTAACAGTAACTTTTGTTTGCTTGATGTTATTGTTGGTTTGAAAAAAAATCTCATGTGCCCAAGGCTAACCTTGATAACCTTGAAACGGGGTCTCAGGTACCCTGGGATGGCCTCAAACTTGTTATGTAATCCAGATTGGCTTTGAATACCTGACCTTGTCTGGTTTCCTTGCCTTCTCTCTAGAATTCTGGGACAACAGGTGTGTGCCACCATGCCTGGGCTTTGAGGTCTGGGGCTTCCCCAATGCTAGGCTAGCCCTCCCCCAACTGAGCTTAATCTCCAGACCAGGAGTAGTTTGAGATCCATCAATAATTATGCGGAATGTAATTGACTTATGTAAATGTTCCTGGAGGGGCTAAGGCACTGCTTTTGCAGAGGTCCCAGATTCAGCTCCCAGAACCTACATCAAGTGTCACAACTGCCTGTACTCCTAGCTCCAGGTGATCTGACAGCCTCTTCTAAACACACACACAAATACATTTTAAAAAGATATATCTTATAAATGTCCCATGCCTATTTAAAAATAATTATCAATGTTCTGTTGTATCAAGTAAGTCAAATTCATTAGATTGTGTATTTAAATCTATATACTTCATTATTTGGTTTGCTTTTACAGACTACTGAGAGGAATCTGTTAAAAAAAAATCTTTCACTATGATTCTGTATTTGACTAGTCCCCTTAAAGTCACTATGCCACAACCCCTGTTGGAGATTGAGGGCATCACACATGCTAAGCAAGCATTCTCCCATTGGGCTACACCCCAAGTTCCTAGTTCTAGAATTTCCTTCTTTCTGTTTTCTATTCTTTTGCTGTCAATATTTATTGTTTCCTTATGTATCTAAGCTAACATACAAAGTAATGATTTTCATTATGGAATTTTCATACACATATATATCTTATTCATTTCTCTACACAACTACACTGGCCCCCTTTGCTAGTCAGTCCCTATCTCCCCCAGCTTGTCACCCTTCCTATATTCATGTCACATGTATTCCACTACATTATCTATGTATCTGCCTATCTACCTACCTATCTCCTTACTCCTCCATCTCTAAGATCTCTTCTTCCCCTTATAGTCCTCTACTTTTATGAACACACACACACACACACACAAATTCAAACCCAGAGTTTGCATACAAGAGAAAGCATGCAGTATTCGTAAGTCTGGCTTATTTCACTTTAATGATGTCTAGTTGTATCCATTTCCTGAAACTGACATTGTTTCCTTTTTCTTTTCTTTTTTTTTTACTTTTTTTGTTTATGTAAAAATTTATTTGATCAAAATGTAGGAAAAGTGATATTATCACATATACAATTGCAAGAAGCAAAAGAACAAAGAATGTTTTATTCAATTGCACAGTTTGCTAAAAGTTCATCTTCCTGGTAGTGTGATGCTTAATAAATAGGAATGAAGCAGGGGGGTTCAGATAAGCTAGAAGCAGGGTATTTTCAGTTGAATTGTAAACTCAAGTTGTCCCCACACTGCTAGGGAATGTGGAATGCTTCAGTCTTGAGATGGTAACTTAGAAAGCAAAACTTGAACAAACCCCCCAAAAATGTACAGCCTACAGAATAGTCCACATCCAGTTCAATCAGGGGTTTCTTGGTCTTTTATTAGGTCATTCCCGAAGGAATTCAAGTCAAAGTCAAGCTTCTGTTTGTTGTTCCCTGAACAATGAAGATGAAGCTACCCATTTTTTTTTCCTATCACTTTGCTGCTTGAGTGACCTTTTGTCACTCAACTGTAGTTATCAGAACAATCTACTCAATGTATTGATGACCAGCAGTCTTTTTGTTTATTATTTGAGACAGGATCTCACTCTGTAGACTTTTTTATGTCTGAATATATACAAGTGTACCACATTTTCCTTAGCTGTCTGACAGGTTGATTGTATTTGTTAGTGCAATAATAAGCATGCATGTGTGAGGCTTAAGATGTGGCCTAAATTCAGGTCCCAGCACCCATGTCAGGGGCTCAAACTTGACTGTAACTTCAACACCAGGGGATCTGATAGATCTGACAGTCTTCTTCTGGACTGTGAGGGTACCTGCATACACCACACACACACACACACACACACACACACACACACACACACACACACACACACACACACTTTTTAAAACTTTAATAAAAACAAATTGTTAACAAAATAAATGACAACAGAAAAACCTGAAGTGCATGTACTTCTATAGTATATTGCCTTACAGTCCTTCAGCTAAAACCCAAGAGTGGTACAGCTGAATCATAGTTCTGTTTTCAATTTTTTGAAGAACCTCCATGCTGATTGCTATGGCGGTTACACTGGTTTATTTCAGCACTAGGACTGGCACAGAGTTGAAGCAGCAGGGATGGCTGGGTGACCTCATGGAGTCTCACATGGTGAAGGGGATGAGGAGGGACATCAAACAAAAGAGCCCCACAGCCCCAGCCAGGACAAAGCCCAGAATGACATAGAAGAGCTGTTGCTCCAAAGATGGGTTCCCAGCATAGCCAATATAAAGCTGCCAAATACCATTCCAATGTAGATCCTTGATCCAGCCACACCAACTGTGGTAGCCCCAGCATCAACAAACCTAGCTGCTATGTTTTGGAAGACAACTCTGGCCTGGAACTCCCATCTGGCCACTTGGAGAGGGGAGCTGCTGCAGGAAAGCTGTTAGATGAGGCCTCTGATCTTCTCAGGAGGGAGGCAGACACAAGCCTGATTAGAAGGCCTCCGCTACAGGAACAGATCAGAACTGGAGAGGTGAGCAGCCCTGGTGCGCCTCACCTTTCCCACCCAGCAGCTTTAGCCCTTGGTCTCTGGGGATTGATTTTCAGTGGTAAAAATTTGGTTCAATCATTCCCCCTTTAGGAATAGGAATGCTTACTTTGTGAAACTGATGGAAGGGTAGATATAACTTGTTTTTTAATTTATGCAAGCTCACAGCCAAGAGACTGTCATTTTAAAGTGCTGGAATAATTGAAAAACATGGGAACTTTAAAGTTGGACTGAACACATTTTATGTTTTAACATGGCCATGAGACTGTGGACAAGGAGTGGACAAGGTTATGGCTTGAAAGTGATGTTTGAGTGTCTAGTTGACAAGGGATAGAGCTGTATTAACTGTCAACTTGACAGGATCCAGAATCATCTGGGAGATGGCCTCTGGGCATTGCCTGTGGGGATTTTGTTGATTACAGTTAACTGAAGGAGGAGCCCCGCTCACTGTGGTCCTTGGCTGTGACCCTGGGCTGGATAAATAGAAAGGGGAACCTGGCAGCAGGTTGAATATATGTCAGCTGTACTCTCCCTTGCCTGGACTCTTTGTCCTCATCTCAGTCTCTCCCGCTTTCTCTCTGTCTCTGCTCTACTCTTGCTTTTCCCCTGGCCAGGCCCAGTCTGCTGGCCATGTTCAATCTACTTTTTCCTCTCTACTCTAGACTCTTCCAGATGCCTTTGCCATTTCACCCCCTCATATATACAAAAAAAACCTTAACCATACCATAGAGCAGTCATGCTCATCAGTTCATACAGATCTACTTGAATAAACCCGTTTCCCCTTGTCTTTATCAGAGTATTTTATCACAGTAACATAAAAAGAAACTAAGACATTTGTCATTTGATTTCTTCATATTTCCAAGTCCTGAAAAACTTAAGGTATCAACTGATTTTATTGTTCCTGGTATAATTCCAAGAACATATTATTATATTTGCATTGTCTATCTGAAATATAATAATTTTGTTTGGGAAACAAATGTTGAAGGTTTTTATTTACTATGCACATGTTGGATCAACACTGAATAATCTTACAACAATCCAATGTAAACAACTTAGTGTAAACATACGTAATACTCTTAATAATTAATTTTAAATATACAGATAGGCTTAGTTTCTATGTAAAACCTAATCAATAGAATGTGACTAAGATAAAGTGTGCAGGAAAAGACAATATTTAATGTTTCAGGAAAAGATAATTAACAGGTTTATTGTTTCATTTACAAGTTCAGAAGGGCTTAATCATAGACACAAAAACAAATAAGGGAAAACTACCAAACAGACAAAAATACAATTCTCAAATGTTGAGGTTGAGAGTTAGAATTTTATGCTATGAAATGTGAGTTGTAAAGGCTCACACACAACCAAATAAGCCACACACAAAAAAGAAAAGAAAAAGGATACCTTTTCTTTAGATAATTCTATAGCTGTCATAGGTTCCAGAAGGATAATCAGGTCTAACAAGATTATCTTCAAAAGTAATTCCATTTACGTCTTCAGAAAGTAATAAGCCCAGCAAGCCCTAAATAATAAATGGTTTCTGTGTCTATATTGTGCTTGGAATTGAACCCAGGACCTTGTACATGCTTGACAAGTGCTGTACTACCAAGCTATGTAAATGGCCTCTTCTAACTTTTTATTTTGAGATAGGGTCTTACTAAGTTACCTGGCCTGGTTTGAACTTTCCATCCTCCTGCTTCAGTCACCTAAGTATCTGGGATTACAGGTCAGTACCACAGAGCCCAGCAAAACTGCCTTGTCAAGATTGCCACATCTCTAGATTCATTCAAAAAGCAGAAAAGGCAGATCCAGTGGTACACACCTGTAGTTTCAGGAGCATTATTTGGGCCCAGGAGTTAAAGGCCAACCTGGGTAACACAATGAGTCCTTGTCTCAAAAGGGGAAAGAAAACTGACACAGAGGTTCCAGCATAACCATCTAGGAAAGCAGAGGAATAGCAGTCTGGAAAATCATATTCCAGTTTGGGCTGGGCCTCATTTAGTCACTCTGGCAGGACACCCTCTCAAGTTTTCATTTCCTCATAAGCCACAGCATTGGGCTCAGGCTCTACCATGGAGATTATAAGGTACCTGACTCACTATGTTCAGAAACAAACATTCACAGTTCAAGCATAGCATCCTAATTTTTAAAATCAAAATAACATGACCAGAATCTTAATAGTTAGCATTTCAATACTGAACCTAGAAAAAATATAATGCAATACAGAGAGTTCTTTTAAGTATGTCTGGGTGACAATAATTCCATAGCAATTGTGCACTCATGATATTTGGAGAGCTGAAATGATTCTGAGTTTTCTCGGGACACATGTTGAGAAAGTAAATAATTCCTTCTCCATTCTCATTTAAATTATACACGTCATAATATTTTACAAAAAATAAATGCCCAGATGTAATTACAGCTTAACTTAGTTTCCTCCTTAATTTGTTTTTTATAGCAGACATGTTAATTTCATTTTGAACATGATATGCCAAATATCCCGAACTTCCAGGAATGAAATCATGTAATTCTCCAAGGAATTTCTCCAAGCCATCAATTGATATATAACCTATAAAGACAAAAAGAAATAGATACATTTGAAATCCTATCATGCTATTTTATTTTCACTATCTTTGATTTATAAGCTAAAATTTGTATGGAGTTTTTTTTTTAAGATCTAAAAAGAAAAAGTAATACTGGTGAGAAGATTCTCAAAAGACACCTGATCTTCCTGCTTCTACCTCTCCAGTGCTGAGATTACAGCCCCATTCTAAACCATGCTCTATTACATAACAAGAGAGACTAAAGCCAGAGCTTTGCACATGCCAGATAAGCACTCTGCCAACTGAACTATGACCCCAGCCCTTAACACTGTTTTCTTTTTTCCCCTTAGTTTACAAAATAATGAGTTTTATCACAACCTTTTCATTCAAATTTATCATTGTGTTTTGGTCATATTTGTCTCTTCTACCCATCTCCCCTCCTCACTGTCCTAGTTTTGTTTGTTATTCAATTTGTTTGTTTTTATGGTTGTTTTTATTTTTTTTGAGACAGGGTTTCATGCTTTAACCTAGGCTAGACCAAAACTCACTTTTAGCCCAGGCTGGCCTTGTTCAGCTTCCTAAATTCTCCTACTATTGGTGTGAACCAACACACTTAACCTTTCTTCCACTTTTGAAAAGCACAAATACTTAATAAGCAACTTTGACGACTGAGAGTGGAATGTCTACATTGGGGCTGGAACATTAAAGTACTGAAACCAAAATGACTGGCACAGACTAAGCACTGAGAACTTTCTACCCAACCCCCAACAGCACAGACAGTACATCTGCTCCACAGAGCAGACAACACTTCCAAGCACTGCAAAACTCAGATACTCTAGTGAAAAATTAACAGTAAAGTTAATACTGCTGTCAGTCAACACAAGTCATGGGTGTAATTTTGATGTCATTAATAATCTGAAATAGATATGAATGCCAAAAAGGAAACCCTGCCTAAATGCAGAGAGCTTAGGGAAGGAATCAAATTTCTTAAGCAGTAACTTGGTAACAATTACTTATCATCGGAATGATTGTTTTTACGTGTAATACAAATGTTTGTGGTTTATACTAATACTAAATACTAACACTAAAATTGCAATCTAAAAGCAAACACTGCACATTAAAATTCTAGAAGACCCCAAGTATGACTGCATTTAAAATTACTGTCAATAGCATCATATATAGCTTGATAATTTTAGTAATAAAGTCAATTCATAGTTTAAAATTATGAATCCAGCCATAGAAAATTAGTATCTTTAATCTATTTCCATCATTGGTATCTATTTCCTGAGCTCTTTTTGAATCACTGCTGTGAATTCCCAAGTGTATCCATGATCTTCACCTGATGGATAAGCACTTGTGTAACCACTGGAGAAAATGTTTATCACACAGACACTATGTGAGGTTTCTAAACGTTTACTGCACACATATGCAGAGGGCATCAGGGCCTTGGACTCACAGAAAAGCACTAAGAGAATCAGGAACACTAATCACAAATGGGTTGGTGGGAGTCCATAAAGATGGCTGCACTCCATCTTGGCACAAGGAGAGAGTTCAAAGCTGTCAGCAAGTCACAAGACCTAAAGGTCAAAGGTGTGGCTACAGAAGGATGTTTCAGCCATTTTAGTTTAAATAACAACAGACCTGAATCTGAGGTGTGGCTACTCCTGACTGTCAAGGTTAAGGAAGGAGTTGGATCTGAGGTGTGGCTACTCCTGACTGTCAAGGCTAAGGAAGGAGAAGTTGGATCTGAGGTGTGCCTACTCCTGACATTGAGGTTAGGGAAGGAGAAGTTGAATCTGAGGTATGGCTACTCCTGACCTCAAGGCTAGGAAACAAGAAGTTTAGAACTAAGGTGTGTTTATGTAAGGATGGAAAAATTTAGCCTAACTCTCCCTAGACTCTGCCCCCTAGCAGTGAGTAGGTAAAAGATCACATTCTTGACAGGGCGCTTTACGACAGCACCTGTGAGTGAGTGAGTGAACACAGGAAATGATCCTTGTCACACCACCCAGAAGCCCTATCGAAAGCAGACTTCCTGGGCTAAGCATGGGCTTGGATAGTTCAAATTAATTGGTCCGCACTGGATGCTGTGAAATGATTGGTTTATAATGTGCGGGCTTTGTTGTAACCCTATAAAAACTGTCTAAACCCTGTACCCAGGGTTCCCAGTCCTCTACCCCATGTGGAGTATGGCTGTGGAGCCCAGTGCACTGGAATATAAAAAAAAAAAAAACCTCATGCTTTTGCATCAAGACCGCTTCTCATGAGTGATTGAGGGGGGAGCGCCTTTCCTGAGTCGGGGCGTGAGGGCCCACACCCTCTGCAGATCTTTTCATTTACTGAACCCTTGGAATGAGTGAGGAAGAAAAGTCTGTTCCATATACATGATACTGTGTTCTACTTTTTGGTTATGGTATATAAAAGTGTTGAAAAATAAACGTGTGGCATTTCAGTATTGACTGATCTGCCCTCCTGACCTTTATTCTGTCTCTCTTTGTTTATTATCTATAGCTAGCCTTTCCCTCATCCACACTCCCCCACTTAGGTACGGACTTGGGGCCGCTTGGCTAGCTCTGATTTGCAGCTCTGCAAACACTGCTCCTGACAATGGGTCTCTTCAATGGAGGAGATAAAATGGAATATCCTGCATTCCATCCAGAAAGCTGAGAGTGGAGGTTGCTAACAACCTGGTAACCTTTTTGCTATCTGAAGAGACAGACCTCACTCTAACTCCCCAAAATGATTATTCCAGACTCTTCCCCCTAGATCATACCCATCCTTAGGGGAGATGTCACATGTATTTTATGTACTGCTCACTTCTATGCTATCATACAGAGACTACATTCGATTCTAGACCTTTTAGCTATTGAACCTACCCTCAAGGTCACATGTCTTTTTAAAAGAGTTGCTAGGTAATCACATCTTAAGCTTTATTGTGCACCTGCGATTGGATTTGCAAGAATTATTGTTGCCTGGAGACCTTTTTCCAAATTCTATTGTGTTTAAATATGCATACAATAAAGTGCCTGGTATTAGACTCCCCAAAGTCTGATTCAGGTTGATGAAGTCAACCTGCACTGGTTTTCATTCTTATCTCTGTTCAGTTTGCTTCCCTGCCTGTATACCTGCAGGGACCTCCTCACACATACACTATATAAGGTTTCTAAAGGCATCAGGAAAGGAAAACAAAATTAATTAGCAAATACATTTCTACAAGGATAAGCTGCCATCATGATGCTTCTCAGCTTTCATCCAGTTTTTGACTTGTAGCTCTTCTGACTTTCTCTCCCCCAGGCAGCTCACAGGAACTCTGCTATCCCTTTTTTTCTGGCTTAGAGCTGGTTATTGTGAACACAAGTTTCCCAGAAAGGAAACACACCCTCTGCGGGGCTGACTAATGGGTCAGAACTTCTGACTGCAGAGAGGCTGCCATGTTATAGCCGCTCTGCTAGACACTCCTCTCCCACTGTGTCCAATCTAGCATCCTTGTGACTAGCATTTTTGGAATACATTACCCTAGCATAGCAGACCCTGAACTTCCACCAACCCCAAAGCTAAGAACGTCACAGAGAGTACCCAAGGCCTGTGACAGAGTTCCCTCCACTTCTGTAACCAACAGTCTACCTGGTATTCCCACCAATGAATTTATAAAGTATCTTTATGATTCACTTCATCAAACTGTTACCACACAAGTACATAGGATTTGGCATGACCTGAATCTGTTTCTAGACCATGGTCACTTATAGTTTCTAGAAAATATCAATTGTCTCGTTTGAGGTAAGACTTTTTTTTTTAAACATCACCATCATAAATGATCTTATCTACCCTTATCTAATTGATGGTAGAACACAAGACTCTTTGTTCTGGAAGATTCTGACCTATCCCCTGGAAGGAAGAATGCTACAAAGAAAGACCAAGAACACCGCAAGGACAGTCCAGCTTTTGGCATTACATCATACCCTTCCTGTCTCAACACATCTCAACACTGTTGCTGGCAGGGGCTCCTATTGATCACAAGTTTTTCTCAACATTTTAACTTCATTTTACTTTTCTAGGGCAAACTGTGTTTTCTGTAATGGTAGAAAATATGGTCATTTAGTACAGCATTAAGATGAATGCTTGCTTAGCATGCATGAGGCTTTGGGTATAATTCCCACTAATCACCCTTCACCTCATCCTACTCTTCGTGTGTGTGTGTGTGTGTGTGTGTGTGTGTGTGTGTGTGTGTGTGTGTGTGTATGGTTACCTGAATAATAAGTTAACTTGTTACAACATATCAAAAACAAAAAATACTAAGGTCAGCTTGCAAATTACATATTCAGTTCCAAAGCAACTCTTTGGGCTACAGACAAAGTAAGCTTGTATTTTAGATAATACCTATTTCTGGGCAGGGGAAATGCCTCAGTGTTACTTGCTGCCAAGCCTGATGACCTGAGTCCAGGTCCTGGTACCCACATGGTAGAAGGAGAACCAACTCCTCAAGGTTCATGTACACTGTGGTACATGAGCTCATACATATATCATGTGCCAGCATGTATGTATGTATGTATGTGTATGGACACTAATATATATATATATATATATATTCATATTAGTAATAGATAAATTTTAAATGTAAAATAAAAACTTCATTAAATGGTTACCATGTTGGAGCATGGAATTTGGGGAAACCTGAATCTTTGTTCCTGAATCATGGTCACTCATTGTGGCTACAAATAAATAATCTTATGCTGACATAGGTTTTTTATGTTGATACCACTCTTTAAAAAGGCCTTGAATGAGTGATCTCCATTTCTTAGTATTCACAAACTTGTGTAAACCCTGACTACTTCCTATGAAATATTCTTTTACACTGAGTGAATATATGTAACTGTGATTGGCTTAATAAAGCTGACTGGCCAATAGCTGGACAGGTAAGTGGGACTGGGAGACAAAAAGAAAGCATGAAGAAGAAAACAAGGAGTCTCAAGGAGATACAGAGGAAGCAGGAGATGAACTTGCTGTACTGAGAAAAGGTACCAAGCCATGTGGCAGAGCACAGATAAGAAATATGGGCTAATTTAAAATGTAAGAGTTAGCTAGTAACAAGCCTGAGTTATTGGCCAAGCGTTTATAACTAATAATAAGTCTCAGTGTGATTATTTGGGAAACGGTTGGCAGGAAAGAAAAGTTTGCCTACAACTTCCTACTTGGGCTGGTCTATGTGTTGGCACGTCACTTCTGAAAACAAGGACTGGCTTCTGTCTTAGACATTCTCTTATTACTTTGGACCTCTTACTCTGAAACAAGCTACTATGAAAATATTCATTCAGGGAGCTGGAGAGATGGTGCAGTGATTAAGATCACTGGCTGCTCTTGCAGAGGACCCAGCACATACATGGTGGCTCACAACTGTATATAGCTCCAGTTTAAGGGTATCTGATGCCCTCCTCTAGTCTCTTGAGATACCAAGTACACAGGCATACAGGCAGACAAAACGCCCATATGCATATAAAACTCCATGTAATATAAAGTGTTTGGTCAAAACTCAGCAAGGACCCTACGGTTTGGCAAGTACCACTCATGAGTAAGCTCTGATGCAGATTTTTCCACTCCCAGTTGTGCCTCAGAATGATTGTAGCTTTGATGACAATTTCTCCGAACATGTATGGAATTTTGAAATACATCATCATTTAATACACTCCGGCACTCTGATCCTCTAAAGCTATAAGTGATAAGCATTCATTATTCTGGTTTTGTTTTTGTTTTCCCTGATGTATGCCAATCTGACCTCAAACTTGCTAGTTGTGGTTGAGGATGACCTTGAGCTCCTTATGCTCTTGCCTCTACCTCTGCAGTGCAGCAATTACAGGTGTGACACTATTATACAGTTTCCATAGAGCTGAGGATCAAACTCAGGCTTTGTGAATACGGGGCAAACACTGTACCAACCAAGCTGCAGGCCCAGGGCCCTGAGTTTGTTTGTGTTTTGGAGATGAAGTCTCAATATTGTAATCAATATAGTCTGTAACTCACCATGTAGCCCAGGCTACAGATTCATAGTACTTTTCTTGATCAGCCCCCCAAATGCTTGTATTTATAGAAACTAGCACCCATGCCAGATATATGGCCATTATTTTAAACTTCTGAATTCTGAAATGATTTCCTACATACTAATAGATATGTAAACAGTAAATATTTGGGGTTCTCAATTTAATTATTAGAATCCTTTGACTTGGAATTTTTGCCAGTAAGGTATTTAAATTGTTAGTGATTATTTTCTTTCTTCTACTTATCACATATGTAACTTATCAATCAGAATGTCTTATTATGGATGATAACAATTGATATCAAACTGAGGAGATAATAAAAAGCAATTTCAAAATGCCAGTATTTTGGGAGCAACTTAGCAAAGTCTGAAAATATTTTTAGTTGTCACAGCTGTGGGGAAGAAGTTGTATGGCTGGCACCTTACAACCATGGTGAAATTTGATGCTCATCCACCTCTGTCAAGAGAACAATTTGGTCAGCAGTGCCCAAAGTGAGAAGCCCTGTTCTAACTCAAAGCTCCAGCTTGTATTTTCTGTAACTAAAGTTCTCAATTAATTCTATTTTCAGAAACTTAACCCATTTAGGGGAGGGAAAGTCAAACAGCAGCAATGTTACTAGAGTTATTAGGTTCAGAGCCTGGACTCTGGCAGCCCTACCAGGCTAGGCTGGGTCACTGCCCTCAATAGGTCAACTGAAAAAACTCGATGGTATAATGTGTGCTTAATGCAAAGTTTCTGATTTGGACTTCAAGGGGAATGGTACACTGTCCTTTGGGATAACAGATTTATTAAATATAACAATAAAATGTTAAAATCTAGCTGATACTGGGGCCACAATACTTTGCAGGAGCCTCCCACTTTTAGATACTGACAGGCACCCTATTGAGACACTGTATCTAAGTTCCCAGCTATCAGACTTCCTGGTGCTAGGATCTCTCACCTGGGAAGGTGAGCTGACACCAAAGAGGGTGTGGTCATATACCCTGCTTGCTACCCATTTCCCTGTCTCATGCCTAGAAATTAAAGAACAGCTGGCTACATCTAGGAGACCACCCCGATCCTCAGAAAGTATAAAAAGAAACCCTACTTCTGCGATGTGGGCTCTGGTTCCTCTATCTCAGCCATGTTGTCTTTGTCTGGTGCTGGGGCCCAAACTGCCCCCAAAGCCTTTACTATGCTGTTGCCCGCCTGTCTGTCCATGACAGTAACTCCACAGTCTTCAATAACCCGTTCAGCATATCTCCTGAACCACCCCTAATCTGAAACCTTTCATTAGAAGAATTAACACCATAAACACACAGACAGACAGCAACATGGTGGGGGCTTTGAGCAGAGTTCAGTCCTCCAAGGCAGCAAGGAGGGTCCCTCCTTACAGGTCTCAGAGGAAAGGGAAAGTTTTGTGTTACATGGCTGGTGAGTAGTCCACAGAAAGGGCCCAGCTGTCTGGCTCCATAGTGAACCCTGATCTTAGGTATGTATGAGGCCCTGGGTTCAACCTCCAGACTACAAAGACAAAAACAAAAGAACTGATCCCTGAGTGTCAGAAATAAACTGCAACTGTCTCATACAAGCAAGAGCAAACATCCCTCCTATCTAGAGACCTCTGTCTTGGCACAGAAAATATGAAGCCCATGATCGGTCCATTCTATAGGTAAATGTTTTAGATAAATGGCACCTCTCCTATCACCCTGGTAGAAGAAAAGGCTCTGCTTGATAACAACTTGTTCTAACCAGTCCCCTTGTTTCTTTCCTAGCTGAGCTTACTCTAAATTTTACTTCGGATTACCTGTTACCATGTTGTTCACTGGATAATTCTGAAGAGGAAAGTACATCTGCTTTTCTGGTACTGGAGTCCTTACAAAATGATTCTCTGCACTATAAAAAAATGGGATATACAGAAAGTCATGTTTATATTTGATTTTTAATTTATATTACAAATGGAGATTTATTCCAGACAATGTATATAGTAATTGAACACTTCTTTAATGAGGTTTTAGTCTTACTTGGTGAAAAATGTTAATTGTGAGCATTCTTTTGTGATACTAAGAAAGAACAGGGCCCACATACCTACTTTCGGTTTCCTTAGCTATTTCACAAACCAAACAACTATTGAATACAGGCCTGGGTCATCTCAATATCCCCCAAAGCATAGTAACAATTTATAATGAGATAACGTAGGGCTAGGAATATATCTCAATGGTAGGGCTTTTCCCTAACAAACATGAAACTGGGTTCAAACCCCAGCTTGTCAAAATGTGAAATAATTTATTATATACATCATAATCAATACACATATGCATACACATGTGAAATCTTACATATGACAAAAGAAATGCACAGTACACTCTATAAATGGTCCTAGTCTTTTGTTAGTCAATATTTAAACAATTGAGATTATATTAACTAGTACAATTCTCCATACTTCAGCATAGCAAAAAGAAACAAGGTTGGGAAAACCGTGAAATACAATGAAATTTTTAAGTAACTTAAATAAATAATGTTTACCTTAGATCATGGGCCTGCCTGCCTATTTAACACCTAAAAGAAATCAGCCCACTCCTCCCCCTATAGTCTGTCCTCAGGGGAGAACTGACAAACTCTGTTTATCACACAAGCTTGTCAATTGACTTCTTTTTTTATTATTAATTTATTTTTTACATTCCAACCCCAGTTACACTTCCTCCTCTCCTCCCGCTACCCCCACTCTCCCCCCACCTCCCATCTGTTCTTCAAAGAGGGTAAGGCCTCCCCAAGGAAGTCTACTAATAGTCTGTCCCATCATCTCATTGAAACAGGACGAAGGCACCTCTCCACCCCACACACCTGTGTCTAGGCTGGGCAAGGTATTTCTCCATTAGAATGGCCTCCACTAAGTCAGTTTGTTCATTAGTGTTAGGTCTTGAACCCACTGCCAGTAGCCTCATATATTGTCCCAGTCACACCATTGTCACCTATATTAAGAGAGTCCAGTTCGGTCTTGTGCAGGTTCCCCATTTATCAGACCTGAATCAGTTATCTCTCATTAGCTTGGGTCAGCTGTTTCTGTGGGTCCCCCCATCAAGGCCTTGACTCCGTTGTTCATATTATCACTTTTCCCTCACTTCGATTGTATTCCAGGAGCTTGGCCCATTGGTTAGTTGTGGATTTCAGCATCTGCTTCCATCTGTTTCTGGAAGAGGGTTCTAGCTTCTCTGGAGTTGTGGATTATAGGCTGGGTATCTTTTGCTTTATGTCTAGTATCCACTTATGAATACAAATTATATTTGTCTTTCTGGCTTGGGGTTACCTCACTCAGGATGTTTTTTTTTCTAGTTCTGTCCATTTCCCTGTGTATTTTAGGACATCATTGTTTCTTACCACTGAGTAGTACTCCATTGTGTAAATATACATTTTCTTTATCCATTCTTCAGTTGAGGGGCATCTAGGTTGTTTCCAAGATCTGGCTATTAGAAATAATGTTGCTATGAACATAGTTAAGCAAATGTCCTTATGTTGTGATGGTGGCTCCTTTGGGTATATCCCCAACAGTGTGGTATTCCAGGGTCTTAGGTAGGTTGGTCCCTAATTTTCTGAGAAATTGCCATACTGATTTCCACAGTGGTTATACAAGTTTGTTGTCCCACCAGCAATGGAGGAGTGCTGCCCTTTCTCCACATCCTCTCCAGCATAAGCTGTCACTGGTGTCTTTGATCTTAGCCATTCTGATTGGTGTAAGACGGAATCTCAGAGTGGTTTTGATTTGCATTCCCCTGATGACTAAGGATGTTGAGCATTTCATTAAGTGTCTTTTGGACATTTGAGTTTCTTCTGTTGAGAATTCTCTGTTTAGATCTGTATCCTATTTTTTAATTGGATTATTTGATAGTTTGATTTGTAATTTCTTGAGTTCTTTGTATGTTTTGGAGATTAGCCCTCTGTCAGATGGTATATGGTACTTATCTAGACAACTGTCTATCTCCTTAAAGTTTTCGTGGAGTACAGGTTTTTGAAGTATGACCTGATGATTCTCTGGATTTCCTCAGTGTCTGCTGTTATGTCCCCCTTTTTCATTTCTGATGTTGTTAATTTGAATATTCTCTCTCTGTCTTTTGTGTCAGTTGACTTCTTATTGCCTGCAAGCCAATATGTAGCCAGCACCACATCCACCTGCACACTGCCATGCTCCCCACCATGGTGATAATGGACTGAACCTCTGAAACTATAAGTGAGCCCCCTCAATTAAATGTTTTCCTTATGAGAGTTGCTGTGGTCATGGTGTCTCTTCACAGCAATGAAAACCCTAAGACATCCCAGCATGACTTGCCAGATCCCCTTTGTTGTAACAATAAGATGGAGTCATGGAACAAACAATTCTGATGCCTTCCTCTGATGAAACTGGGTTTGAGCTCACTACCTCTTCAAGTAAAGGACTTCTGACTTTCTCTCTCCGGGTCCCATGCTCATCCTGTCCCATGTTGTTGGCCACATCCACCTCTTACTTGAACTCCTCCCAAGTTTAAGTTCCTGTTACATTGTGTCTGATACATGTTCAAGCCTCCTTCATTGCTTTCACACCATGCTGGTGTGATGTACTATCCCTCTTAATGCTTTCCCATTTCAGGCTGGTCATGCCCCATCATAATTGTGAGGCTCTCCCTCCTAATAAAGCTCACGGATGCAGGGCAATTTCTGGTCTACTCCTTTCCTGGAATTATAGCTTCTCTTTCTAACAGTTTAATCCTAACACTAAGTTATAACATCAAGTAAGGTTTTCAATCTTACAGAAATATGTTGATAGAATATTAAATGCAAACTCAAGGGACTTCAAGATGACCTCAGTTCTACAAATTGTGTCTTACTGTAAGAGAGGAGAGACATATTCTACTGAGTGATAGAATTATTTCTAATTTAAATTTCTTTTTTATATGTCTTGTTTTCATGAATTAAATGGATTTACATTTTTTTTAAATTTTGGCATTTTAAAAATAGTCTTATAAAACCCAGGTTGGCCTCAAACTAGCTATGTAGCTGAGGATAACCTTGAACTTCTAATCCTGTCTTCACCTCCAAGGTGCTGTGATTACATGCATACATCGGTATACCTGGTTTTGCAGTGCTAGGAATCACACCCAGAGTTCCATGCACACTACATAACCACTGTAACACTGAGCTACATCCCCAGCCTTTATATTTATATTAAAATAATTTAAAACAACAACAAAAAGTTAAAATGCACGTGACTTTAAAATCTGAGGAATATTTGTCGAAAGGAAAATAGCACAATGGTTAAAAGTTTGGACTCACACATGGTTTCAAATTCAGCTGTACTTTCTGAATAAAACTGAATAAATTATTTAGCACTGTTTTTCAATTGTAAAATGAATGGTACTGATTGCATATCTAAGCTGTGATAATCAAATAAAATACTGTGAACTGCTCACAAATACTTAGCAATTGTTCAATAATAGCATACCATTTAGTATATGCTTACTACCACTTAGTAAGTAATGCTTCATAGATATAGTTCAAGGTATATTTTATTTATGTTCATATTCCACCATCTGGTGGCTCCACAAAAAAAAAAAAAAAAAAAAAAGCTCTACAGATGTAGTAGAGTTCTTTACCATAACATGATAGAGCTATGGAACATATGAACTCACAGTGGCTATGACAATATGTATAGTGAAAGGATTCAGACATTACTCTGGCCTGCCCTTGTCACCTGGCAGAATACACTCAGGCAGTACTCTGGCCAGCATGCAGGTGCAAAGGACCCCTTTAAAAGAAAGACTCCTGCCCACTTAACACTCTCTTTCTCTTTCCTGATGATCTAGGGCAGACAGGACTTTTCCTGTCTCCCTTTTCTCTTCTGTCCTCTCTCTGTCTCTGTGTCTCTTTACCTCTTTTCTCTGACCTCCCCCCTGCTTTTCCTTTCTATTAAACTTCTCACTAAGCTCTGCCTGCCTGGTATGTTGTCCCCTGCCTCGGTCACCCTTGCCTGCCATGGAATCTGCCAAGGTTCCCCACATGCTTATTCATAACACATAGGACTACATAAGATCAAGCCAGCCAAAATCCCAGCATGGATAGAAGAGGGGCTCATAAAACCCTGACCCTAGCTCAGAAGCTGAGAAGCTGTTGGCCATAGATATCTGCTACAAGAGGTAGAATAAATTTTCATCAGAGTTGCAGCCCTTGGAAGGCTGCCCATGCTCCAGTAGATGCACATAATGACAGCCCTAAGTAGAGCCAGTGGGTTTTCAAAGCAAGGGAGAAGCACCAGGCATGGTGGTGCACACCTCCAATCCCAGCATTCAGGAGGCAGAGGCAGGTGGATCTCTGTGAGTTTGAAGCCAATCTGGTCTACAAAGTGAGTTCAAGAACAGCCAAGACTATACAGAGAGAGAATACATGAAATCGGGGAGGGGCAGGGAGTTAAGGAATTAGAGGAAAGGTGGGGGTGGATTTGATCGAAAATCATTATGTGCATTATGAAATTCCCAATTAAAAAAAGGAAATTGAAAAATAAAAGGCCAAGCTGGGCAGTGGTAGTACACATCTTTAATGCCCAGCACTTTGAAGTCAGTGGCAGGATGATCTCTGTGAATTCAAGGCCAGCCTGGACTACAGAGTGAGTTCCAGGACAGTGACAGTGAAATACTCTCTTGAAAAAAACAAAAACAAACAAACAAACAAACAAACAAAAAAAGAAAAAGAAAAGGCAGAAACCTAGGGGATATTCACATAATTGGTCTTTATTTTTTAAAAAACATGACAGTCTTCCTATGTAGGCTAAGTAGCCCAGGCTAGCCTGGTGTTCATCTTAACCCCTATAATGCCAAGATTATGCCTAATAAGTACCATGCCTTGTATTTTGTTATATATACATGTATATTTGTGTGAGTGTTAGTGTGAGTGCACACATATACAAGCATGTATGTGGAGGGCAGAGGTTACTATTAGGTGACTTCATCAATATTTCATCACCTTATTTTGTTATGTATTTATTTATGTCTTCTGTGTATGTCTTGCCTGTACGTGCACTACATGTGTGCCTGGTGCTCTCAGGGGTCAAAAGAGTGTCAGATCCTCTGGAACAAACCCAGGTACTCTGTAAGAGAAACAAGTACTAGTAATCACTATGTCATCTCTCAAGCCTCACTTCTACTTTTTTAAATAAAAGTTCATATGACTTTGGACAAATTAAACTTTTTAATCTTAGATCTCTTTTTCTATAATTGAGAATGGTGATAATGACAGTAGCAATCTCAGAGGAACTGTGAAACTAAAATATACAATCAAGCTCAAAGATTTCTACATTCAATGTGAATACCAATGAAGCATATTAACTCAATACCTTTCAGACAATTCTTTTTTGTGTTCTGTTGTTGGCTCACTGCTTTCCCTTTCATTTGATGTTATTCTGTCATGCTGTAAATAACAAAAAAAAATCATAGCACAGTAATTATCTAATCATTAATTTTTAAATTAAAATATAATCAAAAGCTATTTAAATTTATTCTTTTAGTTCTAGTCATTGTAACTAGAGGGAAGCTTATGAAATTTCATATATATAATCATGCTTTTAGAAGGAAAATCAAAATTTTAAATGCCAGCTATATTTGTAGCAGGTAAGTGAACTTTGAGGGAAGAAAAAGAATACAGAAAGGAAAGAAGGAAGAAAACCAAGTATTACAAACATAAAGCTTTCTTAAAATCCTTGACCTCAGGATTCTCCCACTTCTTTGTAAGCTACAAATCAAATTTAAAAACATGAATGAATTGTTTCCACTTTAAAGTGATGGTGATGGAGATGTTTACCTCTGAAGTTGTAACTGAACTAAAAGCATACTAAGCTTTTCCAAAACATTTGTAAAAATGACTCAGATGCTTGTACCTAATGTGTTTAACAGAATGTCATTAGAAATTCCATATTTCGATCATAAATCTTTCTTAAGCAATAGTAATACTCCAAATTACTTTCCAGATTTATCCTTGTTATTTTCATTTGATAACATAACTTATATAATACGTGGTTACAGATTTATAATTAGCTAATGCATACTGATAAGTACTTTGAAGAAATTGACAAGATCCTTTATAATCAATAGAAGTATGTTATATTAATGTTTTTATTTTATTTTTATTTATCTATCTGCCTGTGTATGTCAAGTGTATGCCAAGTGCATGTAAGTGTCCACAGAGGCCAGAAGAGCTCATTAGAGCTTCTGGAGCTAGAGTTACAGGCAGCTGTGAAGCACCTGAGGTAGGTGCTGGTAGTTCCATGGTGAACTGAACTCTGGCCCTCTGGAAGAGCAGGAAGTGCTCTTCACCTCTGATCATCTGTCCATCCAGCCTTTTTTTTTTTTTTTTAAACAAAAATGACATTTAGATTGAGCCTAAGAAAATTTGGTTTCATTGTGCTAATATCTGATTACTACATGTACTATGTACTAAGTTTTTTAAATCTCCTGTTTACATCAACATTTTTATTTATAAAATTAAATGATCTTTAGGTTTCTCTTAAGTTCCAAATTACTGGTATGCTGAACAATTAGTTTTTAAAAATCTATCATCACTTGTGTAGAAACACTGACAAATCAGAGAGTATAGATTTTCAGAACTTATATGTCCAAGTTAAAGATCCTAAAGAGACTATGATTTCCAAATGATGATACTTTGGGAAATAAAAACAAATTAGTGGGTCCAGTGAGACAGCTCAGCAACCAAGAGTGCTTACTGCCAATCCTGATAACCCGAGTATGATTTCTGGAGCTCACAGGGTAAAGGGAGAGGACCAGCTTCTCCAAGTTGTCCTCTGACTTCCATATGTATATTGTGGCATGTACATGCATACACACAAAAAAATAAAATTTAATTAATGAAAGGAACATGAAATGTATAAATTAATTACTTGGCTGTGGAAACAGAGATTTTTCTATTTTTTTCAGTCTGAAAATAATAACATACTGATAAATTTTAAAAATTAAAGTAGTACAAAAATACTATATACCTTGCACTTAGATATATTTTTGCTACCTTGAATGTGCTTTTTTAGTTTTATGAGACCATATGAAAACATCATTTCTATTCCTTAAGATCTAGCAAGAATTTTCTCAAAAATGTATTTTTATCTTTATACTGCCATTATCATACTTTAAGAGAACTTAACAAATCATTATTATCTAATATTCCCAGTTGCTCTCAAAATGCCTCTTTTGTTGTTATGAGACAGGGTTTCACTATGAAGGCCTGGCTGGTCCGGAACTCACAGAGTTCTGCTTGCTTCTGCCTCCCAAGTGCTAGGATTTAAAGCCAGTGTCAGTGCCACTGTGCCTTTTATATTAAAAATGCTTCTTTTATGTTAAAATATATAGAGAGAGACTCTGATCAAGGTTTATACATCACATTTGGTTGTTGTGTTTCAATTTAGAACAATTCTCCTACTTTTGTGTGACAGTCGCTATAGAGGTCAGGCCAGTTGACTGACTTGTGGCATAGGCACTTCTTGAATTCATGTGATTAACTCATATTTGGATCTTGGTTAAGATTTTGAATAAGAATGAAGCATAGACAATATTACGTATTTATTATATAACAACAGACTAAGCATAATGAGAGGTTATTCCAGTATTAGTGACACCAATTTGATCATTTGGTTAAAGGGGTATCTTCCAGATCTGTCCATTTGCAAATATTGCTTGCCTTTGTAATTGGCATGTAATCTGTGGGTGATAATTTGGGATCATAGTTTTAACATTTATTAATGGCTCTTGTCTGAGTCAATTATAATATTGGCAGCTACAGAATGCATATTTTAAGTGCACATGTGCATGTATGGATGTGCCTGTGTGTGCGTTGAAGACAAGGCACCAAATATGAAACAGCATCATATGAATGTCAGAGGACAACTTGTTGGAGTTGGTTCTCTCCTTCAATTATGGAACCTCCCTAGTTATTGTGGTTGTGCATCAAGCAGTTTTACTCACTGAGCCACCTCGCTGGCCCAAGGAAGTATTTTCTATTTTACCATCCTTTCTATTTCTCTTAGCTACTATTACTATTATGAAAATTTTTACTTATACCACCGCTTTCTTCTCTTTTTTCCCTCTGTCTTTTCTTCTTTCTGCTTTTGGATTAGCACTATGAACTAATTGATTCCTTTTTGTATACTGTCTTTTTTTGATGCTGAAATTATCCATAAATGGCTATTGCATAAAGATTTTGAAGTAAAAAACAGACAAATTTAAGTAGAATGGCAAAAACTAAAAAGCAGTATTGCACATATCTATTAAGGAATATTCATCAAAACATTTAACAAATGGTATAGCATAAGAATTCATCAGCCTCTACACCAGCAATTGTTGCTCACCTATTGTTGCTCTGTATCACTGACTAAAGAAACCAATGTTCTTCAGTTATCTTTCCAGTATTAGGAATTGAACAGAAGGCCTTGTATGTTAAGGAGTCATTCTACCACGTGTTCTACCCCCACCCTCAAGGTTCTTCTTTCCTTTTCTTTTATTCCACCATGTCTGGTTTTTATGCTGGGCTGAGAACTGAATCCAGGGCTTCTTGCATACTAAGCCTACACTCAAGGTTCTTCTAAGAATGGTTTCATTTATAAATATTCCAATTTTGCCAATTTATTATGTAAAGACAATGTCAAACCAGGTAATATTCAATAAAAGCATCCTCCTCTTTAAATTCCTTAATCTGGCTTATTGATGCATATGTCCCAAATTATACTGCCTTCAAAAGTTTTGAAACTGTACATACCAATCAAGTATTTTAATTTCCTCTTACCTTTTCTACCAGAAAATTTTCATCTTCTTCCCAAATAAAACTACCAATTTTTCTTCGTATTTCTGTAGTGAGAAAAACAAGTCCAATATTTTTTAAAGTAATTTCTGAGTTTTACATAACATTTGAAACTTGTGGGTTATATTTATTCTACTTGAATAAAAATAACCAGATTCCTACTGAGCCAGCACATTGAAAAGCCTAGGAATTAACATTTCCAACCCACTCTCCATATAATCCTAGTACATTGTGAAGATCATTATTGTAGACTTTTTCTTGGTATGTGGTATGCATGTGTGTACATGTGTTTGTTGTGTAAGTTTATGTGGTTGCATGCACATGAACATGCATATAGCATGCAGAGGGGAGCACTGAGAATTTTCCTCTGCTTTACTGCCTTCAGACAGGGGCCCTCACTGAACAGGAAGCCCATTGGTTCAGCTAGACTGGCTGACCAGCAAGCTCCTAAGTTCTCACTGTCCCCATCTCCCAACTGCTGGGGTTATAGGTACTCATGACCATGCCTAGTTTTCATGTGGATGTTAGGAATTCAAATTCAGGTTCTTATGCCGGGCAAATCCTCTTATTCATTGAGCCATTTCCCTGACCTTATTTTTCCTACTAGTATATATTACTTTATCAGATATGCCAAGTATTATTAAATAAGACAACTGTCGCCATAAAATTCATAAAACTATTGAGTGTATAGAACTGGGGTTCTTGATTAATTTATTTTACTAAAAAGTAGATAAACAATGTCTAATAGACAGAATTCTATAAAATTTAGTATGTCTGGTGACATTTATCATCTTAATAATCTCAAAATTCTCCACAACAGCCCACTGGAAGACAAAAGGGGTCTAAATACACTAGACTTTTGCTGATATGGTAGCAATTGTAAATGTATGCTTAGTCAAATTGAGGTATGGTATATGTGTAAAATAAGCACTGGGTTTTGAATATTTGGTATCTGAAAGAATGCAAAATATTTTAATAATTTTCAGGTTGACTACATACTGAAATGATTATCTTTTCACTATTAGGTTAAAAAGATATATTCTTAAAATTAATTTTGCCTGGTTTTTTTTGGGGGGAGGGGGATTTGAGACCAGGTTTCTCCCTAACAGTCCTGGCACTCGCTCTGTAGACCAGACTGGCCTTGAATTCACAGAGATCTGCCTGTCTCTGGTGGATCCTCCCAAGTCCTGGGATTAAAGGCATGCACCACCAATGCCCAGCTTGCCTGTTTCTTTTTAATATGGCTACTAAGACCTTTAAAACCCATCTAGTTCACAGTAGCATCTTACACATCTACTAGGCCATACTGCTCTAAGTAGATAAATACACTATCCTGGTTTGAATGAGAATGGTCCCCACAGGCTCATGTTTGAATGTTTGGTCCCCAGTTGGTAGAACTGTTTGGAAAGGATTCTCACTGGAGGAAGTGTGTTACTGGTGAAACTGCTTAGGAAGGATCCTCATTGGAGAAGTATGTTACTAGCAATGGATCTGAGGTTTCAAGGGACTGTGCAATTCCCAATGGTCTCTGCTTCCTGTTTGTGGATTCAGATGTGAGCTCTCAGCTGGTGCTCTAGTACCATATGCCTGCCTGCCATACTCCCCACTATGACAGTCATGGACTCCTATCTCTCTGGAACCATAAACCAAAAATCAACACTTCCTTTTATAAGTTTCTTTGATCATGGTGTTTTATCACAGTATGGAAAAGTAACTAAGACAGGAGCATACCTTTTTTTTTTTAAAGGAGTATATTCTCATTTCAAATGAAATATGTTAATAGAAGATATTAAACTCAAAGATAAAATAGTAGTTTTAATTTAAAATAAGGTTAATGAATTGGATAATCATTCTGTAATACAAACTCCTCAAAGAAGAGTTTTAGGCCAGTTGAGGTTACATAGCAAAAACTTGCCTCAGAATTTTTAATAAATTGCTAGACATGATGGTACATATCTATAATTTTGGCTCTCAGGAGGCTGAGGCAGGAGGATGACCATTAATTTGAAGCTAGCCTGAGCTACAAAATTAGTACCAGGTCAGCCAGAGTGACATAACAAGACCCAAATCTCAAGAATGAAAGAGAGGTTTAAATAGGAAGGGAGGAGGGAAGAGGGAGAAGGTTATTTTTAACAAACCAATTTTGTCATAAGTCATTAGTTTAGTGTTATAACTAGGTTGTGCTGGAACACTAGTTACAAGAAACCAATCTTTGAAGATTCTAATGATTCTTCTAGGAAAATAACAAAGTTTTTTATTTGTTCTGCTTTGTTTTTTTAACATTTTTCCTCACTAGAAATCTGCAAACAGCTTCAGTTTGTCTTTCTAGAAATGGACATAGGATTTAGGATAAACAAAATCTTTATCAAGAACTGAGTGACTAGGAGATGGAGAGGTGGCTCAGAAGAACACTGCATTCCCTTCCAGAAGACCCTGGTTCAGTTCTTAGCACCCACATGGTGGCGCTGTAACTCCAGTTATATCCTGGGGATCTGACGCCCTCCTCTGGCCAGCTCGAGTACCAGGTACCACTGCGGGGCACTGACACACAGGCAGGCAAAACACATACAAAATAAAGTAATTTTAAAAAGAACTGAGTAACTAATGAAAGACCTACAAAAATTAGATCTATAAGGTTAGGTAGATCACCCAGGTTAAGCTTTGGACAAACATGCTATGAACATGTTCCAAGCAGGGAAAACTGCAAGGACCAATCTCAAAAACAGTTCACTTACTTTTCCTTCTCATTTCATATGGTTGTTGAGATAATGTGAAAGTACTTTCAAAAGTATAATGAAAATACAAATATGAATTTATTATCATAACAAATATCAGAGTGAAGAGATTCAACACTAGCAAACAGCACATTTATCAAATACTTACCACATGTCATATACCTTAATCTATTACCTCATTTTATCCTAAAAATCACTTGGAAGAAGTCAATAGCATGTTAGATCACAAAACTGCTAGGTATGGTGGCGCACATCTTTAACCCTTTCACCTGGTGAGGGGACAAGAGGCAGGTGAATCTGTGTGAGTTTGAGGACAGCCTGGTTTATATAGTGAGTTCCAGGCCAACCAGGATCACACATTAAGACCCTGCCTCAAAACAAATATTATAAAAAAAAAAAAAAACCCAAAACTAAAATCCTCCATAAAAACAAATTAAGTGTTGTCTCTAAGCTGGTAAGCACTTGACTTTGAGGGTAATATCTGACTCTGTCTTATTCACCATTGAACTCCAGCACCTGGGTTGTGACCTGGCAAACAAAGAAACCTTAATGACCGTGTGAATAAAGAAAGCCAGAATATTCCCTCAAAGTATATGACTCCCAAGTTCATATTTGTTCCACTTATATTAAATGATTCAAAAATGTCTGTGCATATCTGGTTCACACCTACAATCCCAGGACTCAGGAAACTGGGATACAGAGTTAGATATTGAAAAAGAGAAAAAGAAAAACACCAAAAAGCTAAAAAAACAAACCACAGAATTTCCAACTGAGAACAGAAACTGGTAAGATTTAATATAGTTATCTTAATAGGGATTGGCTGGATTTGTCAAACAGATGGGTTTATGATCTTTGCTAACCTTTTTGCAGACATGCAGGAGGAAGAACAAAATTGCCTAAGACCACTGAGTTTTTCATTTCAGTATTAGCTACTGCAGAAAGATAGTAGGCATGAAATACTGTAGCATTATCTTCTATGTACTCGAGGCTCTGATATATTCTAGAAGAAAGGAAATCTTCTAGGTTATGAAATAGACAGGAATAAGCTCAACCTTTCAAAAGAAAACCAAATGACTGGAACTAGGATAATGCTAACATTAAAGAATACATTTACAATGACCCTTTTTTTCCTAGCAAGAATGAATGCATATGAGGTATATTACTTAGTTTGAGGACCTAAGTGTAGGCAAATCTCAGCTTTAGAGTTGGTAAATGATTTTATGAATTTACAAAAGACCAAACACAGTAGTTAGCTGGCCATCAACAGTGGGCTGAAAGCCAGCAGCCCAATGAGTTTTACTTATAGTTACTGACATTAAAATAAACCAATTAATTCTGAGGTAAAGAGTGGGCATTCAGTCAGAGAGAACTTCACATACAGGAAACATCTTTTCTAGGCCTGTGAAAAGAGGGAGAGAAGAAAGAGAGGCATTAGAAAAAAAGACATTCATGAAGGAACAATAATGACACTTTAGGTAGACTAACTTACAAAAGGCATGGAAGATTAAAGAGGCTTTAGTTAAGTCTAACCCTGTAGGTGGTGGGGTGGGGGCAGACCAGGAGCAGATCTCTGCTCAGTAAGCTCTTAATAGCAATTATGAAGGTGCACATATGGAGGCAGCGTAATCTCTTGAGAGGCTCCTGTGACAGCCTGGAAAGGGGCAATTACAGTGCTAGTAAAAGCAGCAATAGGATGAAGTACTGTCACTGGAATCGGCTCCGTGGTATTAGGCACCAATTCATGAGTGGCAATAGGAGTTGGTTAAGACGCCAGAAAGTCCAGTCTGTTAACACAAGCCGTAAATCTTGGTACTTGGTAAGCCAAGACAGGAAGAGCATGAGGTTCAAGGCTAGCCTGGGCTACAGTGCAAGAGCCTGTCTCAGAAAAAATAGACCAAAGGAAGAAAGGAAGGAAGGAAGGAAGGAAGGAAGGAAGGAAGGAAGGAAGGAATGAAAAGGAAGGAAGGAAAGGGAGGGAGGAAGCGAGGGTGGAAGGGAGGAAGAGGGAGAGAAAGGGAGGAGAGAGAGGAGAGAGAGAGAGAGAGAGAGAGAAGGAGAAAAGGAAAGGAAAGGATAGGAAAGGAAAGGAAAGGAAAGGAAAGGAAAGGAAAGGAAAGGAAAGGAAAGGAAAAAAAAGGAAAGGAAAGGAAAGGAAAGGAAAGGAAAGGAAGAGAAAAAAATGGGTAGATTTTCGGCTTGCAGAATTCAGGACGTACTCCGGGGGTTAAGGTGATATCTGGTTGAGACACATGGAGTAGAAACCCTCAAGTTTCCACGTGACAGCTGAACACTCAAAGCCAGGATTCTGTTAGAGACTGGAGTGACAGGTAGAAGACCAGGGCGGAAGGAAGGAAAAGGGCCCACGTCTAGGGCTGCAAACATGCTGTCCCCGTCCCCCCACCCCACCCCCGTGTTGATCACTGGACTGCTACTTCCGTTCGTGGCTCTAGGCACACGATGACAGGAAAGGCTCTAGCGGTGACCCCGGGGTACCTCAGCGTGTCCGGGTGCGAGGCATCACAGCTGAACAGGAAGTCGGCGGCCTGGGCGTCGCTCACTGTCCCGCCTTCGTCCACTGTGGAGGCAAGGGCACGTGTGAGCGCCGGGCAGGGCAGGGCAAGCGTCCCCAACCCGCACGCAGGCGGAGGAGGGCTTCCAGGGACACTGGCTCCCACGTCCCGCCCCACCCGTCTTCCTACCCCACAACTGCCTCAAGTCCTGACTGACGCTGCGACAGAACCAACCACGCTGCCCCTGGAACATGGCGCCACCGGCCTCCAGGCTCCTGGGCGGGGCCTAGAGCCGAGGCTGTTGATTGGTCCGAAAGCAAGCTTGATGATTGGTTCCCAAAAGAAAAGGGCGGGAACGGCCTCAGGAAGCAGAGAGACAGCCGCTAACCACCACAGTTGAGAGGATAGCCACGGGGGACGAAGATCGCCGGACCTGGTGAGTTTTTAACACGGAGTACTGTGCGCACACACACAGACACACACACACAGACAGACACACAGATACACAGACACAGACACACACAGACAGACACACAGATACACACACAGACACAGATACACACAGACACACACACAGACACACACACACTCCCACAGACACACACACACACACACAGATACACACAGACATACAGACACACACACACAGGCACACAGATACACACAGACACACAGATACACACACAGACACACAGATACACACAGACACACACACACAGACACACAGATACACACACAGACACGCACACAGACACAGACACACAGATACACACAGACTGACACACACAGACACACAGATACACACTCACACAGACACACAGATACACACAGACACACACACACACAGATACACACAGACACAGACACACACAGACAGACACACAGATACACACACACAGACACATACACACACAGAGATACACACAGACATACAGACACACACTCACACAGACATACAGACACACACACACAGACACACAGATACACACAGACACACACACACACAGACAGACAGACACACAGATACACACACACTACACGGTATATTTTAGAAAGTTTCATATAATCCAGCATGGCTTGGACCTTGCTACATAGTAACAATGCTGATGCACTTCTGAACTACTGATTTAGCGGCTGACCCACTGAGACAAGAAGACACTGAACTCGAGTTACAGGTCATCGTAAACCGCCATGTGGGTGCTGGGAATTGAATCTGGTCCTCTGAAAGAGTAGTCAGTGGAGACATCTCTCCAATCCTAAGACTTATTTTTAAATGTCGTGATGGTATCATTTTGTTTATATTGGGAGGGGGCGTGTGTGTGTGTGTGTGTGTGTGTGTGTGTGTGTGTGTGTGTGTGGTCAGAAGACTGGTTCTTCCACAATGTGTGTTTCCAGGGATTGAACTTTGGTGGTCCAGCTTGGTGGCAAGAGGTTTCTATCAGCAGAGCCATCTTGCCACTCCCCTGTATCACATTTTTGTTGTTGTTGTTGTTATTTTTGAGACAGTCTCTTATAACCTAAGCTGGTCTAGAATTTGTGGTTCCCCTGCCTCCACCTTCAGAGTGCTGTGACCACAGGCCTGTGTCACTCTGTCCAATTTACATAACTTTGAGGATAGAACTCAGTGAAAGGGACCCAGAGTCGGCACAGAACACACCCAGACACCAAATTCTCAGCCTGTAGGGCCAGGTTAGGTTGTTCCTTTTATAAACTGTCACAGGATTTTTGTGATGTCATTTGTTATTTATTGCTCAGTTCAAATTATTCTCAGATTTCAGTAGAACATTTTATTAAGTGGATTATTTGTTTTTTTTTTAATTTTTGTGAGTTTCCATATGATTTACAGGTTAGCCTCAAACTTGTGATTCTATAGCCAGTAAGATTTTATCTTTAAAAAGAATGCTCTTGGATATTCTAGAATAGAGTTCTGTGTATATGTTCATTGGGTCAAATTACTCATATTGTCTAATTCTCTGTCAATTAGTAGGAAAGCCATGTAAAAATCTTATGGATCTATCCATTCTTACATGTCTGTTAAATTGTGTGCAGACCTCGTACTGCACTACTTTTAATTAGACACTACTTTTAATAAACTCACACTTGTTATTTTCTGTTTGTTTGAACCATTGAGTACTTAAATATGAAAGGCAAAACCTCAATACACATAGAACACAAGAGAATAATTTTGGACCCAGGCAAAGGATTTTTTTTAATTGAGACATAGTGTTAATTATGACAGAAAAAAAATACAAAACTTTGACTCCATTAAACTTCTCTTCATCAAAGTCACCATAATTAGAGTGAATATACACAAGTCAGAAAATGGGGAAGGTACCTGCAGTGCAAATAATCAACAAAGGATTAGTATCCAGAATATATAAGTAACCCTATGAAACAATAAAAGAGAAATGACCCAATTAGAAAATTCAGCAAACATCTGAATAGACTTTCTATGAAAGACCCACAAATCAATAAACACATGAAAATATGCCCAATCACATGGTAGTTATGAAATTGCAAATTAAAATCACAATGACATACCATTACATACTGACTTTATTAATTAAAAGTGGATTGGCAAAGACAGAGTCATAGGAATTCCTACTGCTGCTGCTAGTGAGAAAGTAAATCTGTACATCACTTAGATCAACAATCCAGTGTTACTTAAAGTTATGTGTCTCCTGTCACCCAGCATTTATCAGATATACACCTGTGGAAACTCTTGCTCCCATGCACACATACAGCAGTACACATAGAATGTTTGTGGCAGCTTAATTGTTAACATCAACAATTAAGGAAATGGAAAGGGGAAATGGAAACAATCACTATACACTGGGAATTTAAGTTACTGTCTCTCTTTAAATTTTTAAATTATGTTTATTTCTTTATTTGAGGGGTGACATGGTTTGGATGTGGAAGTCACAGGACATCCTGAGGGAATCAGTTCTCTCCTTCCAGCATGTAGGTCCTAAAGATCAAACTCAAGTTGTCAGACTTGGCAGTAACTGTCTTTAACCACTAGTGGCCCTGAATTACTGTATTTTCATACAGTGAAACACAGCAGTCCTTAAGCACAGAGGATGCTCTTCGACATCCCAAGTGGAAGCCAGAAGCTACTAATACCAGACCCTCTATGCACTACTTTCCACCACTACACATATACAGCTATGACAAATTTTAATTTATAAATAAGGCATGGAAAAAGATCGACAATAATAAAGTAGAACAATTATAAGAATGTATTGAACAGAAGTTAATGTGCTTTCTCTCAACTACCATGAGGAAGTTAGTATATACATTGTGAATATGCCGCTCTATCGATCCCAAGTGGGAGGAGTAGGAGGGCATAAGATTTTATCATATTACTCAGAATTGCATATTTCATTTGTTTGTTTGTTTGTTTATGCAGTCCTGGGGATTAGACCCAAACCCTCATACATCATAAGTCTCTACCACTGAGTTGTACCCCCAGCACTCAGAACCACAATTTTAATAATGAATCATTTATGTCTGAAATTTCCCATTGATACTTTCAGACCCTGGTTGACTGTAGGTAATTGCAATTGTGGGACATGAAACCATGGATAAGGGAAGGAATACTAGTACATCATAATTTTGAATTTCCAAAAAGACCAGGAAGACATACAACACCATACCATTTATTTTCAAGTTCAAATGAAGTGATAAAAATAAATATATATGTATACATGTTTTTATATTAGGAATACATGCAATTTAATATAGAAAAAATAAAATAATACATGTATATTGTTTTTAAATAATATTTAATAATTTTTAAAAATAATATTTTAAAAGAATTTTTATATAAACAATATTATTTATTTACTCATTATGGGTATGTGTGTGGGTATGGGTATGCATACTACATGTGTGCAGAAACCTGAGGAAGTTAGAAGAAAGCATCAATTCCCTAACCCTGAAATTACAGGTATTTATAAGCAGCAGCCCTGTGGGTGCTGGTAATGGAACCTGGATCTTCTGCAAGAGTAATAAGTGCTCTTAATTGCTGGGCCATCTCTCCAGCTCATATCTTATGTTTTAATACAAAACAGAGTAGTGAATACCCGAAGACTAAAAGACAAAAAGAGACACCAATGTTTCATTACTGTTTGGGTTCTAAAGCTAAGTTGTTGATAGTATTTTTATTATTACTTTCATTAAACCTCTACATGTCTATCACCTGCCTTAAGTACTGTGTATTTTTAGAAATAACTAAGAAAGTACATTAGTTTATAGGGGAGAAGAAGGGAGACAGTGACAGCACTAAGCAAAGTTCCAGGCTCACAATGAGTCCTCATCACATTCTGGTTGAAATGAAGTCATTAAAAGACATAGTAAGGGGCTAGACACATGGCTCAATGATTTAGAGCATGTACTGCTCTTTCAGAGGACCCAAGTTTGGTTCCAGCAGCCACATCAGGCCACTCACAACTACCTAGCACTCCAGCACCAAGGTATACAGCATCCTCTTTGGTATTCCACTGGCTCCTGCATCCATGGGGCACACACTCAGATACACACACATACACATAAATAAAAATAAGATATTTTGTTTAGAAAAATGGGAAATTTTAAATGTAGCCTTTTAATTCTGTCATGCTATTTACCAAAATCACCTGTTATAAATGTGTACATGCTCTATAAAAAAAAACAATTTTAGACGTGGAATTCCAAAGAAGGGAACTAGGGCCATTTCATCAAAAGTACTTAGGATATCAAGAACTCTAAACCTAGAAAGAAGTAGCAAGTTAGAGAACAAACATGTTGAAGAGAGTAGGATGAAAAATGCTGTTATTTGAAATATAGACAGTACTGATGAAAAAGGAGAGTCAGAGCAGATGGAAACATGGATATATTTTAATATAGGAGAAGCAGGTATCTCTCACTAATAAATCAGGAAAAAACTGAAAAGACAAAAAAAAAAAACTAATGATTTGCTAGGCTAAAAAGTATGCTGCATGAATTCAGGAAAACATGATTAGTTATAAGCTAATTAATTATAAGCTAATTCAGGCCATTTTCTACTTTAAGTCTCTGGAGCAAATTTTCAAATTTACAGTAGCATGTTTTGGAAAAGAAATGAGATGAAATTTTACAATTAAATCACAGCAGCAGGGGTGGGGGAAGATAATTAAACAGGAGGAAAAGTGCAGATGTGAAAAATCTGTCCTCTCAGAGACTCATCATGTTGGCAGCACATTCAAAAAGGGTGTCCAGGCATCACAAAATCAAGTTGCAGCTTGCTCCAGAAACAAGACATGAGCATCATACTCAGGAAAACTCCTATGTCTTAGAAGACCCCAGAGAAGTAGAATGTTATCTTGAAAGGCTCCAGCAAAATCCATGCAG